CGGTTCGAATATATTTCTGTCTGTCTGTCCCTAAAATGAAGTGATAATGAGCTCATGGAATAAACAGACCACCGACAAAACGGTCATCTCACAAAAGTTGCGCCATCAATGCCTTGCAATGGCATGATTGTGATACCCCCCCCCCCCCCCAAAGGGCCATGCATACACCTACTAACCACTGTCTCGGCCATTCCATATGGCGCTTCAGCCAGCTGGAGGGCTGTGGAGGAAGAAGAGTAGGGGAGCATAACGGAAGAAGTAAAGCTCACGCGGGTAAGGGAGGTCCTGGCACGTGCCGGGGGCCGAATATAGCATGATCTTAGTGAAGTTCCGCAACAGCGAATTATTGAAATGTGAATGCTGTTGTTGAAATCAACATGCTCACTCTCTACACCTGGCTCAGCGAATACCATAAACCAGGGTTACGAGCAGGGTCAACCGTCCGTTGGACAAAGTCCAACGCGACGGCTCTCTAGCGTGTGAGAGTAATGCCGAGAGTGAACGTACGCACGGAGACACAGACGGCTCGCGGTGGCGAGAGTGAATGCCGGCGCGGAGAGCGGTCAACGTCGGTCCAATGTCGGTCCAACGTAACGGTTGACCCTGGTTACGAGCTTGACAGTGAAATGACAGCGCTCAAACTGTCAAAGGGGGACCACCGCAGTCAAAGTTCTTGAAGTTTTTTTTTTTTTGGGAAACCAGATAATGCTGACATTTCCACAGTTCTTAGTACTGAATACCTTCCCTATGTTTATTCCTAGAAAAACTTCAAATTTCAGAAGAAACAGAAAGTAATCTGAGGTAGGACCTGAACTGGGTGGAGCATGGATGAGTCATGATCGGGATGAGATGGAAGCGAGATGGAAGCTTGCTCATCACTACACTTGCCCTGATTGGGGCTGCTATTTTTGAAGTGAAAGAATTACATATCGAGATTCTAAAAGTTTATCTATACCATAACAATATACCTTTATCTTTTCCTAACAACTGAACACCTAAAACATGCAGCTCACAACAACAATACCATGTACATTGGTACAACCAGATACAGGTTGATACCTAGCCAGGCATCCTATACAACCATAACATAACACAAACTGCACCGCTATCTATGACCACGTCTCATATTGAATACGCCCTACGCTTTCCAGTTTCTTCAAGAAAGTGCCTTCTGCCCATCCATGTTGTGAAGCGATCGCTTCAAGTGCAGCACCAACATCTCTGGGCATGTCTCCTGCGCTGCCGGCTATGAACACGAACCCTGTTAAAGAGAGGTAATATGAAAACTCATGAGAATCTAGCTCCATGGTGACCTTACCGTCTTCTCTTCCTATGGCATCAAATTTTGCACATATACCTGAACAAGTGAACCAATGTTTTAGTGAGCGGACGGCAAGCCATATTCTCATGAGCGTAGATGTATCGATATTCTATTCTAGTTGAAAAGTTAGAGTCCTCGACAACTATCAGGCTATTTCACATTGTGCGACTTCCAACCAAGGATGCATGGCATTTGAATGAGTATTTGGTCGAAGCAGTAAGTTACAAGAATCAACCGAACCACTAGTCAGGGCGCTCATGTCCTTGAGGGGGGGGGCATCATAACAGAGCCGATGCTAGGTAACACTAGGACCAAGCCCAAGAGAGGGGAGAAACGCCAGAACACATATTGCTAACATCCTCCCAGAGAATTCCGACATGAGCGCCACTAGTCATTGTTTTTGCCAAACCATTCCGGCAATATTTTCTGTTGCCATATACGTGTTCCTGATATACTCTGTAGTGAAGTGAAGAATTGGATGTGATACGAACATACAAAGCCGCATGGGAGCTTGGTGGGTCTGGGTCTGGATCTAGCCGGAAGCACGCACCTTGGACCTGGCAGACTGATCCGTTGTACTTCACAAGACTGGTCTCAATTCCCTTACGTTCGAAAAAATACCCTCGAAGATCTAATCACGAGATTGTTAAGAAGAACAGATGGGAAAACACTAAAAATCCAAGACCTATTAATAAAAGCCTAAAGCTGGGAGGGGAGGCAAGACCTATTAATAAAAGCCTAAACTAGGTTGACAGAATCATGCAGTCGTCTAGGTTCAGATGGCTGGTACCGAAAGTCAAAAACGTTGACTCGAATATCTACCAGCCTCACAATTCATTGTAAAGGTCAAGGCGCATCTGATGCACTCTATCATTATGAAGAGCAGCAGGCACCTCTCATAAAATGACCAACGCCGAATAATTCATTTCTATAATTTACCTAAAGTTCGAAGGTTTACGGACTACTTGAACTTTCTTCTATGGTCCTGCCACGAATGGCGGAGAGCACAGACGATTAGAGAACGGCGCCTGGCTCGGCTCCAAATCCCAAGGAAGGGAGGTGAGAGCCCTAGGACTAAGCCTTGAGGGGAGGGACTCCGAGGTGGGTGAGCCAATTACAGTGTGGCAAAAGTTTGAATGTGTGAGATCACAGTGGTCATCAGCCGCTGATAAGGCGAGAGAGCGCAGACGAGAGCATCGGATTGAGGCGGCGAGTTCAAGTAGTCCGTTGACCGGGCTAATGGTGCATCACATACGCTAATTTTGGGCAGCTATCAAAAACTGCCGATATTGTAGCACTATTTCCTTTTCAGAAAATTCCTACTTCATTAGGCCATGCCCTACCTTAACCTTCCTCGACAACTACTCCTCTCATCGCACCGAATAATTTGTAAAATAGTAACAATCAAGGCGCCATCACAGTATGCGGGGGCATTGCCGTAGCAATGCAATTGAAACCGCGTAAAACATCCCCTCCTTAGTAAAATAGGACTAAACCACACGAAGCAATTTCCTTTTTCTCCGAAGTTCCCGCTCCCTCCTAGATTTAGTCCATGAAATGCCCCCGTATTTTGCGATAGCGCCACAATTAATTTGATGTTCGAAATTGGATGGATAGGAAAACATAAAATCATACCTTTTTGTCTGGAGTATCTCGACTAAATGCCGTGAATACTTGCGTAGTTGGCATATTTTGCCACTCGGATTCAAAATAGAAGTCCAGCTTCTTTCCACGACAACCAAAAAATAAAATTGAATCGGCAGCTGTCTCACATCTAAAGTAGACTCCATGTTAGAATATCACAAACATTAAGCATATAGAGTTCTTTGAATGAGTAGTTCTGATACACTCCCGGGATGGGAAGGCTCAATCTATCGGAAAATGTTAAAGGAACCGAGCACGGAAACGCGTGATTCCGTCTCCATAAATCGCTCGCTTGAAACCCAGCGCTCACGATAAGAACAAGAAATTGTATGTTTTGATAGTAACCCGAAAAATCTGGAAGTAATATTACTCGTGTGAACTCCCACCGCAGAACTTGTCCCTATTGACGATAGAGATGCTTCCATCTGTTTCTTGGGGTGTGAAAAACTTATTAGCTTCATCACCGATGACGAAAACATTTCATTTTTTCATTCTTATTTTTCACTTTTTTCATTTCTTTCCTTTTTCTTCATTTTGCACTCTAATATATCGCGTTGAAACATCTTGATCCTACTCTCCCAATTCGGAGGAGAATAAATTTCATTTCTTTCTACCATGACACCTACTACTGGCCATCCCACCACGGGCCTTGTTCCATGACTCCCCTGGTTCCGTCCAGGTCAGTGAGGTGTAAATAAAGTTTGGCTTTCGAGAGTTTGTTTTTCTTTTTCGGGAATTAAATTTTCATGCATGTAATACCGAAAAGCGCAACGAGTGATGACATGTGGCGCATTTATGCGCGTAAGGAATACAAGAAGTTTCCGTGTAACCCTTGAATGTAGAAAATATTCAATATTTTTTCGATAGACAGGAAAACCGAAGCCCAAAACGCATGAATAACACCCAACGCCACGCAGTGAGGGCACAATTATTTATCACTCCGAAAACACGAACTTTATAGCATTCCCATCCTTCAAATCACTTCGTGACTTCGAATAACCCAACCTCTCCAAAATAATCTTAACTTCGTATAATGTATGCTATACGAAGTTATTTTGTCGACAAATGGAAACCTTCCCTGACACTATTGGCAAGCTGCGGTTGGGAGCCCGCCCATGGTGGAAGGAGCATACGCCGAACTATGCGCTGCACTAATCTTAAAAAAAGGATAAATGCGGGAAGCGAGTTGATGTGGGAGACCAAGGAAACCCGTTTGCAGTGGGTGAGTCTTCTACATGTGGGCGGTGCCTATTACATAATCTCAAATACTTGCGTTTTGAAACTGTGAGACGAAGCATATCGTCTGGCCTTACAAGTAAAATTCGGACTCTTTTCTAGGCGAATCTCCTTTGAAACGCAAGGCCTGGTTAGGAGACAAGACGGTTAATGCAGCCAAAGAGTGGTCAGACGGGAGGAAGGAAGGTAATCTGAAAGTCTCAAGGATAAAACTTCAGATTCCTCGAAAAGCTGCGCAATTTCAGTGAATCTGCGAAAATACAGCTAGAAAACTGGCGACGTACGGGATTTGCCCAAGGAAAGCGAGATACACCAAAATGCCTTTGACTGCTTCGAATCATATGCTATCGACGTTCGAGTCTTTGCCAGCAAACGTTTTACTGTTTCTTAAGTGAGATAACTTACGAAATGAAGTCAAACCGGTTCCAGTGGCCGAACAGTCACCGCTTATCTCTTCGGGATTTGAAGATGGCCCGCTCGTATTTTCACAACACTTGAAGCTTTTGTCAGGAGTACACCTAATAAATTCACCTACAAAATGCCTAGCTCAGTCGAATACCTTATCTCCAATCTTCAACCTTGATAGGAAAGTACTGCATAATCCACGTCTTGGCTCTGCCATTCGGGTCCGATATTCCACCTGAGAAGAGAGAACTCATTACTAGTCATAGTAATGGAGGCAAAAGCTTGTACCTTAGCCACAAGAATCTCAATGGTGTTCTGTGAAGGCGCAGAGGCAATACTGAACGCCCTTGGACGAATAGTAGTAAATAAGTCGAAAAGACGCTCTGGAGGGATCGCAGCTGACGTTCTCGAAAAATCTCGAAGCACTTCGGCCGTTGTCCGGCGACATCTTACTGTGTAGTCAAGGTAGTCATCCTGAAATTATCCTATGTGCATTCGAGAAAAGTTCAAAAAGAGGGGCCGCTCAACTTCGTACACAATTTTCATGTCTCAATTCGAAATCCCCTTCAAACAACGAAAATAACAACTGAATAACTACTGCAAAAAAACATTCTCACCCTACCCCCCCCCTCCATCGGCTACACAGGATGCACTACAGGTTAGTAGGCTAGCAGGCTCTACAGATAGTCCACAGAGGCATTCGACTATCGTGCGAGGGCCACCAATTTGGCTCCCGAGCTGCAGGGAAACTGAACGACTCCCCAAAGGTACAGATTTAAGATTAACACTTCACTGTGTTCACGAGGGTACACAGTCACCTCTTGAAGCGAATAACCCTTCAACGAGACGATAGACGTCGTGAGAGAATGTAAGGACCTGAGCCAGACACCTCTGAACGCGTCCATCCTGTGAAAACTACTCGAAGGGGAGGCAACTAGATATGCGATTCATCCTTATCAAGCTTAAAGGTGCGCCATACACGCTTACCCGCAATTGATGGCGGAGTTCGCGATTAGAAGGAGCTCATTAGATCAAGGTAGAGGTGATCAGAAGGGCGGGAATGAAGAAGAAACATAAGAAACGGCAAAGAACCGGGTGTACCCCTTTTTTGCCAGTTGATTTCTGCACTGATGCGACTCTCATCTTCTCTCTTCAACGCTGACACTCTCTGGTGAACGGTTCGAAAACTGCGATGAGTGGTTAGCCAGTCGAATGACGTGCGGCGTAGGCAGCGCTGCGGGAAGAGCCATAGGACGTCGAGGACATATCCTTCTCTGGGAATCATGTGCCGGTGCGCACCAGAAGACCGCCTGTCTTTCCACAAGGAAAGTTTTCCCTTCTTCTTCGATCTTATATATAGAATACTCCTTTTAATCCGTCTTGTATATGGACGTTGGCTAAATGTACATAAGATGATGGTTATATGTATAAATGTGACGTACTATGCCCTGCGGACTGGCAAACTCCAGTAATTTCTCCTTTTCATCTGGATCAGTGGATATCGAAGCCAGCGTTTGAAAAAATGACTTCCGCGGGATTACTTGCAGGTCAAACATGCGTAGGAAGCAGCTGCGTAGAGTAAGTCGATCTGAAAGGCTCTCCAGAGTTTAGTTGTTCAGAATTTCAAGCACAAATGATATCGGTGCCATTTTTAATCGCAAAAGATGTTAAAATCGATTTTGTGGTACCTTCTACGCTACTCTCGGCTCTACCTCTTTCAGACACGTAGTATTTCCAACAGATGGGATATTTTGACAAGCATCTATATTTACTTGACAGTGTGGGTATCCCACCTCTCATGAGCCAATTTGGGGGAAGTTTTATAAAATCGTCCGACGGTATCAGTTGCAGGGGACGATCTAGAACGTCGTCCGAGTACTTGAGCGCTTCGAGCGCTATGTGAACAGATTCCGACAAATTACAAGGTTGAACCATCAGAACATCGCCTGGGTCATAGATGTACTGGGAATCCCTGGAATACTTCTGGTTACGAAATTTTACCAACATCGACAAAGTAATGAAAAATATCATACTGCAAAGAGATCTGCAGGAAAAACTTGCCGTACTGGTAGGAGATCAGTGCTAGAGAACTTCACAAGTCGAGTATCCTTCAAATAAACACACTAAGACCCCTTGTAGCCGAATTTTGAAAATGGATAGGCTACCTGGAAGTGTTCAGCCGCAGTGACTCTGCTGTTAGAATCCACTACAACTTCGTGGTATGCCTGTGTATCAGGTTTGACCCGACAGTTTGAGCTATCATTGTCGAATTGAAGTTGATATTTAGGGGGAAGGATAATCGAATGATCAACCTCCACTTTCATGCTCTGCAACTGATGTTACTGTAGACGAAGAAGTCTACACACCAAATCATACATAAGATTAGAATTGTGAAATAATGAATTACTGCTACGAAGTAAGAAGAACTATGCCAGAATGATTATATAGTCGAAGCACACATGAAAGAAAATGGAAGAATTCGTTTATACCTTTCATTTGAGAGGAAATCCTCTCCCCCCCCCCCCCTCAGTCGATCCCGGTACCATCACATAGCCGACTCGAGGAATTAATTATTACATGTTCTGGGACGGTTCATCAAGGGTGGAGCGACAGGAAATCTCTTGTCACTGCGCTTCATCAGCCTATAGCATAGTGAGTAACGGTTGAGGTTTCCCCGACAAGACGTCGTATTTCCCTTGATGAAATAGGGGGAAGGGTCTTATCAGAGACATGGGGAGTCAAAGCTGTTGGGGAGGGGGAAGTGGAGATTGATGGAAAATAAAATAGTCACACAAAAACGTATGACATTTTTTCAAAGAATTTTGACGGCTAGTTGGAGGCCTCAACAACTAGGCTTGACGAGACTGAAACGCCTACGATCACGGGAGTGAAGGTAATGGGAATGGGAGGGGAGGGGTTGACATCGTTCGCTGACGCAGCCATTTCCTCGACGCGACG